GTTTTGAACTTTTAAATTCCATAAGATGGCTTGAGACTAGATTTTCAAATCATGAAAAGTGTTTCCAATATGGAATGAAATCTTTTGACACGATTTAGAAGTACACATTATTGTGATTGTTTAAGGTCGGCACCTAATATAAACCACAACCCAAAAGAATAATGGGGATCATTGTTAAGGAGGAATAATGAATGTCCAAACGTTAACCGAATATTGTGACTACTAAATACTTATTTGGGAATGCATACAACGAGACTCTTTACTTGTGATACAAGAAGGCCACAATTACTTATAATTATCCGATGTGAAATCTAATAGCTTGGGTGTGGCAAAACATTGGATAATTTTTTTTTGAAGTTTGAGCTTGGTCAATAGAATAAATATAGCCACCGTGTTTCACATCTCATGGTCAAGATTAATCATGATCATCTTGTACCAAAGGTAAAATGATCTCATTATATACATTTCTTTTTTATTTAATTGTTAAAAGATTGGAATTAACTTAATGCACAGTGTAGAGTACAGGAAAAAAAAAGTGTCAATATAAGAAAAGAAACTCTTTTTTCCTCGAGGGGAGCAAGTAATGGCCTTGCACCCCAACCGAAAAGATAATGCCTTTTTAATTTTAGGAGAAAATATTTGATTATCTATCTATCTATCTATCTATTATATATTAAGTGAGAGAAATACCCTCGTTATTCTTGCGCCACGTGTCTTTTTTTTTTTTCAAAATTGCCTCATCTATAACACATTCTCTCTCTCCATGTATCTCTCTTTCTCCCTCTCCCAAATGAAACATGATTTCTAATTTTATATTACATATTCTTTTCTATAATCTCATCTCTTCCACTCTCATTCTCTCTCATGTATCCTTTTTTTTTTCCAAAATTGCCCTCTCTATAACACACTTTCTCTCTCCATGCATCTCTCTTTCCCTCGTTTTATTAAAATATAAGCATGATTTTTAATTTTATATTAGATATTCTTTCCTATAATCTCCTCTCTCACGCTCTCACTCTCACTCTCTGTCCCCCCATATTTCTCTCTCTCCTTCACTATGATTTTTTTATATCTCTCACTCCCTCTTTCCTAAAATCTCTCTCCCACTTTCCTAAAATCTCTCTCTCTCCCTCTCTCTCTTCATGCCTCTCTCTCTCCACGCATCAAATCTCTATCTCTCAAATTCCGTATTTTTTTTATAGAGGTAAGCATGATTTTCTTCTTCCTATTTATATGGGATTTTTTTTCCTCCATTCTATTTTATATATTAGATATTCTTTCTTATAATATCCTCTCTCCCACTCTCTCTCATAATATTTATCTCTCTCCCTCTTTCCTAAAATCTATCTTCCACTCTTTTTTCCATTTCTCTCACTCCCTCTTTTCTAAAATCTCTCCATCTCTCTTCCGATTTTTTAAACTGACTCTGGTATCTCTCTCTATTAAAGAGGTGAATCAAATTTCACAACTAGAAAGGATGACATATTGATCGAGTCAATATTATTTCTTTCACTTTCCAACCAATTCTCTTTATTTCTCTCTCCCTCTTTCCTAAAGTGTCTCTCCTTCCTAAAATGTCTTGCCCACTCTCTCCCTCTTATTTATATCATCTTAAATTTCTCTCATCTCTAAGGTTTTCTCAAATTCTCTCCCTCTCTACTGATGTCTCAATATCTATTTCATTTCTACGGTTTTCTCAAATTCTCTTCCTCTCTACTGATTTCTCATTCTCTATTTCATTGTAGGTAAATAATCTTTTTGGTTGTTATCTCGGCTCTACTTTGCTGCATGGGAAACCATTGATAATATTGTGATCCATCCATCCAAATGTAAAGAATGTTTTTATGTTAGAGTCCTTTATAAGTACTAAGATTTAGACTATGTTCATTAATATTTTCTATTCCTTTTTCTTTGTGAGCTTCTTGGTTGTATCTAATGCCTTGGAATTTTGTCTTAAATGTTTTCTTAACGAAATCTCAAATATATACAGCTACTTTGGACTTTTTATATTCGTTTATTGTTGTTGTTGTTGTTCTTGGTTGATTTGCATGTTATTGTGGACAATGCATTTTCTTCTTTATATGATTGTATGATACGAATTGTGGTTATAGGGCAATGATTTCATGCAATGGTTGTATAGTAATTTTATGCAACAACCTTCAAAAATCATGTTATGACCATTTGTTTGATCGAAATTTTGAAATATATATTCTTTTCATTTTAATGAACAATAAAAAATTTAAAAATTAAAAAAAAAAAAATTGAAAACACAATCTAGAAAGTATTTTTTTAGCCCAATTAACATTGGTCGTTCAATTTGGTGAGATGCCTAGATCTAAGCCTTAGAATAATTTTTTCATTTTCAATTTTTTTTGGATGGCTTTATTACCATTAGATGAACAATGTGACCAAAGAAAAAAATGATTTGTGTTTACAAATGCTAAGAACTTGAAATTCACCAAATGAATAGTTTAGATTCGTTTTAGAGCTTATTTTGACCATATCTAGGGTTCAAATTGAACTTTTTTTTTGGGGGGATTGATTATTGTGATGAAAAGAGTGTGTGTGCCAAATTTTGAGTCATACAAATAC